GTCATTTGAATGTATTATTTTAAACTGCTCACACTACATTTAGCATCCAACCACACAGAAACCACACATAAAGGTTGGATGTTATTTTATCAGTTACTTAGACTAATGCAGCCATTTTTAAGAGTTCTTTTTGTGGTCATTGCCGTTGTGGTTGTTTAAAAAAACAAACACACGCACATATACACACACAACAGGGTTGCACTGTGGTGCAGTGGTTATTACTTGATCTCACAGCAAGAAGCTCCTGGGTTCAAACTCCTCGTAAGGCCGGAACTTTCTACATTTCCTGTTTTATTTTGTAGTTTTTTTCATCCTTTGTGTCTTGTGTTTAGTTTTACTTCCTCTCTGTTCCCTGATTATGTCCAGCTGTGTGCCATCACCCTCCTGTTTCCCATTCCCATGATTACCCTCCTTGTGTATAAATAAGCATGTCTCCTTCCAGCTAGCGTGTTTTTGTCTGTGTTCTCTTTCTTGTGTTGCTATGTTCCCAAGTTGAATTTCTGTTTCCTTGGTTTGGGCTTTGTTGTAATAAACCCTCATCTTTTGCTCATTCATGTCAGCCTTTGAGTCTTAGGTTTGGGTTCTTACTGTGCCTCATTAGCACAATCTGCAGTTTAGTAGATTTATGATCAACACTCTGTTTCTGCTTGTTTTTACCAGCTCTTCTTCCACCTCCCCTGAAAACCAGATCAGAGCCATGTTCTTACGACCAGCCGCTCATTTGCCCTCAATCAAGTATCATCAACCAAGAACTTGCCTATGATGTCCCAAAAACTGAGCCGGATTTAAATGCACAACCCCAGGACCCGAACTACTGTAACAGTGTACCAGAAGGCACTGGTGTCAAGGTGAACCTGCCGGCTGATCCTGGCATTGTGTCATCACAAGGTAAAAGGCAACATTCTCTTTGTTTTATTAACACAGTTTAATTTGATTGGACATCCTCATCCAGATCATCCTCCTTTCTTCTCCTCTCATCTTAGGCCGAGTCATCCCTCCAAGACCTGAATTCATGAATTTAGTCCCCGAGTACATAATGCCAATACCTTCGTCCCACTCATTTCCTTCAACCTCTCCAAACACTCCTATATCCCCTAGTGCTAAAGGTGATTACAGCAGTCCCTGCTGCGCCATCACAAAACTGATGTAGTATGAAATGCATATTTTTAATGCTTATGTTATTCCAAACCCAGAATCAGCAGATCTGCCAGGAAATCCTAACGTTGTCCTTGTAAGTTTAGGAAAATTACTCTCAGAGGAAAAAGGTAAGTAAACCTTCATCACCACATTAACATCATACCAATAAAAATAAATCTGATTGGCTGTGATTCTGTTTTTGAAAAAATCTAGTTTGATTTTAGTTCATACTTCATGGTGGCAATGACCTTTTTGTTCTTTTCCAGTTGACCCCATACAGGGAGTACACAGCCTCTGCTCCCAATGTGGCTCCGTGGTGGACACTTGCTATGACAATACGGTAATTGCATCGTATTAAACCTGAAAACCGATAACTATTAATTCACATTTCAGAGGCGCTGATCTCAGAAATGGATAACCTGAAAGAAATCGTGCACATTGTTGATCACATCATAAGGAAACATGGACAACTCGACTGGTTTAAATGATCCTGAGTTTGTGTTCTCTCCTTTTACTGCATTTCAGGTTGATGAGTGTTATTTCTGTAAATCCTCCAGTTTTTCCAATGTGCCCAGTTTACTGCAGAGTCCTCTAAATGGTTACCAGGACGAACTCTTTTTACTCAATCCTAATGAAAAGCCTTTGTGCGATACGGATCCTCTGCTGCTCTTCTGCATCGATGTATCAGGCTCAATGAAAATCACCTCCGAGGTACAACAACACTACAGACACTTGGCATCACGAGGCTGTTTGTGACAGCAGGTGTTCATGAATACAACCTGTGGCGTCTCTACTGTTTTTAGGTGTCAGAGGGAGAGCATACTGTGAATAAATCCCGTCTCCAGGTGAGTTGTCTTTTTTTTTTTTTCCTCCTTATTTTGAAGTTACCTTGAGGGACTCGGGATATTTGCCAGTTGAAATCTGTGGCTGAGAATTTTTGTGTGATATTTTTTTGACAATTATGTGT